ATCCAAACTGGAAGCTGGTTCCACAGAAGAGGGGCCTGAAAACTGAAGGCTCTGCCTCCCATTCTACTTTTAAATACTCTAGGAACAACAAGTAGGCCAGGGGTCAGCAACCTTTAAGACCCAAAGAGCCATTTGGACCGGGTTTCCACGCAAAAGAAAACACTGGGAGCCGCAAATACTTTGTGACATCTAAAATGAAGATAACACTGTATATACTGGGGTTTTTTTTACCTTTATGCTTTACCTCTATGCCTAATATAACAAAAGGAAAGACACCCAGCTGAACTAGAATGATCCATGTAGCAAACAAAATCTGTTGTGAGCTGCCACCCTTATATCGCCTTTGGGCTTTTGGAGCCTTGACCTGACTTTTAAAAAATAATTGGGGAAATAAGCACTATGCTGCTAAAAAATGAAAAATAGATATTTGCAAAATTCTGCCTAAATATGTATTTTACCTGGTTAATGTGTGTGGCGGGGCGTGGCCTGCAGTGCTGCTGCAGGGGAGGCGGACACACCTGAGCGGCACCCGCAATCACGCCTCGCTGCCTTAACGTCTGTGCCCTCTATGCTGTTGTGTTGTTGGTGGTGTGTGTCGGGCTGCGAGCTGAAAAGCTACAGCCAGCTGTATGCGTACAGCAACCGTGTGTGAAAAGTGGTCAATAAAGAGATGCTGAAAAGCATGTTCATGGAAACATTGTCGGGTCTGCCGTGATATGTTTACAATGGGACTTCTGCTCCCGAACCTTTGTGCACAGCGTCTGCAAATCGGGGCTGTACAAAGTCACTTTCATCTTTACACAGGCAGCTTAACAGCTGTCATCTGTGAGGCGTGAGCGGTGTTTGTTTTCGGCGGGTATACCAGCTTCCACGAGTGTGACACTTATTTTGAGCGATGAAAAAATAATAGTAGAATTTTATTTTATTTTTATATTTCAATATCACAATAATCTTCCAATTTAGAACTAAAAGTTAAAAAAGAACTAACATAAATGAAATACACTTCAGCTAAATACTTCTAATTTATTTTCCCAAACCACGTGGAGCCGCAGTATGAGGACTAGAGCCGCAGGTTGCCGACCCGTCTTAGACAAAACAATAGCCGAATAACTTAACTACTTTTTGTAGAAAAATAATGTTCTGGACATTTTCCAGTCTGATTTCAACAAATCGCACTCCACTGAAACCACTTTACTTAAAGTGTATAGTGATGTTTTGATGGCAGCAGACTCTGGAGAGTACACAGTTCTGTTTATATTGGATCTCACCTCTGCTTTTGATACTGTTGATCACAGTATCATGATAAATAGGCTTAAGGACTTGGGATTACTGGTGTTGTTTTAAAATGGTTCATGTCGTATCTATCTGAGAGATCTTTTAGTGTCTGTATGAATCAAGTTTTGTCTGAATCAAGTTTTGTCTGAAATATCAGCTCTGCCTTATGGGGACCTCAGAAATCTGTTTTGGGTCTGATTCTCTATTTGCTTAATATACTCCCTCAAGGCCAAATTGTCAAACGTTATTTCTGTTCATCTCTACGCTGGTGACATTCAGTTATACTGTTCTTTCAAAGCTTCTGAGTTTTATAAATTGTCTTGTTTAAATAATTGTCTGTCAGAAATCAAACAATGGCTAAACAACAACTTCCTTCTGTTATAGTGGCTTGCAAAAGTATTCGGCCCCCTTGAACTTTCCCACATTTTGTCACATTACAGCCACAAACATGAATCAATTTTATTGGAATTCCACATGAAAGACCAACACAAAGTGGTGTACACGTGAGAAGTGGAACGAAAATCATACATGATTCCAAACATTTTTTACAAATAAATAACTGCAAAGTGGGGTGTGTGCGTAATTATTCAGCCCCCTTTGGTCTGAGTGCAGTCAGTTGCCCATAGACATTGCCTGATGAGTGCTAATGACTAAATAGAGTGCACCTGTGTGTAATCTAATGTCAGTACAAATACAGCTGCTCTGTGACGGCCTCAGAGGTTGTCTAAGGCTATGTCCACACGTACACGGGTATTTTTGAAAACTGAAATTTTCCGTTTTAAAAAATAATCCCGTCCACATGTAAACGCAGAAATGAAGGAAAACGCTGCTAGGAACATGCCAAAGCAACAGGTGGCGATATATTCCTAACCGTGTAGAAATGTTGGCCAATCAGAAGTCTAGAAGCCTCGGTGGGAAATAGTAAACAAATGGGGCATAGAAGCAGAACAGAGTCGTATGTGTGGAGGGACAGTAACTGTGTGTATATGTAAGCATTTAAACACTGCAGAGAGTAGAATTAACAGTAACAGTATGTAGAAATTCATTTCACCGAAACAATAACGTGGCGCACAGTGTGACGTCAAAAAAGGCGCACACCTTTGACGCTGTTTCTGCGTTTTCTCCGTTTTCTCGTCCACATGTAAATCAAAAACTGAGTTTTCAAAAATATCCACCCTGGCCCGAGTTTTTAAAAATCTCCGTTTTCAGTCACCGAAAACGCCGTTTAGGTGTGGATGAAAGGTGCAAACGCATAGAAAAATCTGCGTTTTCAAAAATACCCGGGTACGTGTGGACGTAGCCTAAGAGAATATTGGGAGCAACAACACCATGAAGTCCAAAGAACACACCAGACAGGTCAGGGATAAAGTTATTGAGAAATTTAAAGCAGGCTTAGGCTACAAAAAGGTTTCCCAAGCCTTGAACATCCCACGGAGCACTGTTCAAGCCATCATTCAGAAATGGAAGGAGTATGGCACAACTGTAAACCTACCAAGACAAGGCCGTCCACCTAAACTCACAGGCCGAACAAGGAGAGCGCTGATCAGAAATGCAGCCAAGAGGCCCATGGTGACTCTGGACGAGCTGCAGAGATCTACAGCTCAGGTGGGGAATCTGTCCATAGGACAACTATTAGTCGTGCACTGCACAAAGTTGGCCTTTATGGAAGAGTGGCAAGAAGAAAGCCATTGTTAACAGAAAACCATAAGAAGTCCCGTTTGCAGTTTGCCACAAGCCATGTGGGGGACACAGCAAACATGTGGAAGAAGCTGCTCTGGTCAGATGAGACCAAAATGCAAAACGCTATGTGTGGCGGAAAACTAACACTGCACATCACTCTGAACACACCATCCCCACTGTCAGATATGGTGGTGGCAGCATCATGCTCTGGGGGTGCTTCTCTTCAGCAGGGACAGGGAAGCTGGTCAGAGTTGATGGGAAGATGGATGGAGCCAAATACAGGGCAGTCTTGGAAGAAAACCTCTTGGAGTCTGCAAAAGACTTGAGACTGGGGCGGAGGTTCACCTTCCAGCAGGACAACGACCCTAAACATAAAGCCAGGGCAACAATGGAATGGTTTAAAACAAAACATATCCATGTGTTAGAATGGCCCAGTCAAAGTCCAGATCTAAATCCAATCGAGAATCTGTGGCAAGATCTGAAAACTGCTGTTCACAAACGCTGTCCATCTAATCTGACTGAGCTGGAGCTGTTTTGCAAAGAAGAATGGGCAAAGATTTCAGTCTGTAGATGTGCAAAGCTGGTAGAGACAGACCCTAAAAGACTGGCAGCTGGAACTGCAGCAAAAGCTGGTTCTACAAAGTATTGACTCAGGGGGCTGAATAATTACGCACACCCCACTTTGCAGTTATTTATTTGTAAAAAATGTTTGGAATCATGTATGATTTTCGTTCCACTTCTCACGTGTGCACCACTTTGTGTTGGTCTTTCACCTGGAATTCCAATAAAATTGATTCATGTTTGTGGCTGTAATGGACAAAATGTGGGAAAGTTCAAGGGGCCGAATACTTTTGCAAGCCACTGTAAATACAGATAAAACAGGAACTTTGATTATTGCTCCTGACAATATGATTTCAGAAATTAAGCAGCATATCAGTTTTTGTTCAATCATGTCTCAGAAATTTTGGCATTATATTTGACAGTTAAATGTCACTTGAGAATCACTACAAACAACTGGTTCAGAACTGTTTTATGATCTAAGAAACATTTCCAAACTCAGACTACTGGTGTCAAAGGCGGAACTTGACATGATTATTCATGCTTTTATCTCTTCTCGTTTGGATTACTATAACCGACTTTTGACTTGTTTCAACAAATCAGTTTTGGATCGCCTTCAACTGTTCAGAATGCTCAGGCAGGACTTTTAACTGGCACTAGCAAGATATCGCACATTATTGCAGTTTTGACTTCTCTTCATTGGTTGCTGTTAAATTTTAGGTTTCATTTTAAAATTTTTGTTTTAGATTTTAGGGCTCTACATGATGAAGCCCCCCAGTATATCTCTGACCTGTTGAAACCTCATGCTTCTTCCCAAGCACGTAGGTCTTGGGGTCGGAGGTTGCTGTTGGTCCCACGTACTGGTTCAAAACACATGGGGCTTTTCGGGCAGTGGCACCGAGGCCGTGGAATTCTCTTCCACTGTCTGTACACTGTGCAGCTTCTATTGACTCTTTTAAAAAGCAGCTGAAGATATTTCTATAGAGAAGAGCTTTAAATTAATTTGTTGATTTATCTTTTTCAATTCATTGTTTTATTGGTTTTATTGTTAGCAATTTGTGATTTTTATCTATGAAAAGTGCTATATAGATACATTTTACTTACTTAAAATATTAACTAATTAAAACTTTTTATGTAAGTAGTAAAATGGTAGGAGGTACGATAGTTTCATCCAGAGCAATGATGACAGGTGTGTAGCTGAAACACAAAATCTGGCTGTTTCCACTTGACCACCCCGCGAACTTTCATGGGGTGAACTTTAGTTTTTACTTACTACTGTCAGCGAAAGTGATTTTTAAAAGTGCTTCTCACACACTTCTTATTAATGTTCTCAGATAAGGTTGCAAAAAATATGTATAATTGTTGTTTTATGTAGTTTTACCCACTGTGCATACTGTGTCTCTGTGTGTGTTTCTCCTTTTTCCTCTACAGGAGAAATACAGTGGGACTGCGACTTTCTATGTCACAACTCCTGCACAGGGCACGCAAGTTCTCACTTTGACCTGACCTTTGTCAACACCTCTGCATTCCTTTAATTTGATTTTCTTTCTTTAATTTCATTGAGTGGTGTACTGCAATACACACTAATGTTGATTGAAAAGAGTTGGGCAAGTGCCTTTATTGTTGAAACATGTTTATAAAAAAACTTTGCTTAAGATGACTTGTAGCAACTGCTTAATATTTTTGATATGGAAATCCAGCTGGGTTTATTTACGATTTATGATTTTATATTGATCCCACATCTCTATTAATAAACCATGTTTCTAAAATGTGAATGTTTTCAGAACTTTTTTTGTTTTAACTTGTTTTTTCATTTTAATTCTATATTGAAATGTGTCAGCTAATATTAGCACACGGATGAATTTCACTTAAATGTGAAGGTCATTTCAGTAAACTTTGATTTTATGGGGTCAATATATGACCACTGACTGCTGAAGTTAATTTAGACAAACAGGAAAATTATTGTTCAATTATTTTATTCATTACTATTTATTTTAAGAAAAAAAGCTTCATGACATCTAACCAAGTCAAGATATCATCAAATCTTACATCAAGAGATGCCTTTATGAATAGAAATTACATCAAGGTGCAAACCACTAGTTAGAACAATTAACAACAAGAAGGTGAGAGTAGTCTGCACACAAAAAGAAGAAAAGGAATTAGCCCCACTAGAAGTCAGTATTACTGATTAAATATTTTTATTTACTTTTTTTTTTTTTTTTTTTTTTTTACATGAAAATACATTTTTGGTCCTATACACTAACATTAAGGATTCATGAAAACAATACCTGGGGACATCAAGG